TTTTTTGAGACAGAGTCTAGCTCTGTCACCCAGTCTGGAGTGCAGTGGTATGATCTCGGCTCATTGCAACCTCTGCCTCCCAGGTTCATGTGGTTTTCCTGCATCAGCCTCCTGAGTAGCCGGGTTTATAGGTGTGTGCCACTACACACAGCTAATTTTTGTATTTTTAGTAGAGATGGCGTTTCATCATGTTGGCCAGGGTGGTCTCGAACTCCTGACCTCAGGTGACTGGCTCGCCTCAGCCTCCCAAAGTGCTGGGATTACAGGCATAAGCCACCATGCCTGGCTGGCTATGACAATTTAAGAAAGCTACATGGAAGAGTTGGAAAATGCACTGGATCTTGCAAGATGGATAGGATATTTACAGGAAAGAGCTCCAAAGAGAGACAATTCAGGCAGGGTGAATGTTAGAAATAAAGGGAAGTAGAAATGTAAGGAACCCAGTGGTCAGGGCAGTCAGTTGAGTGTAGCTCACTCAGGGTAATGATAAGAAGTAGTAATTTCTTATCTGGTGCTGAGGGCTACACTTCCTAACTGCAAAACACATGGAAAACCTAGGTGAGAACCTGGCTTTCTAGCCTGCCAGCATGTGAGGCAGCTACCCTAGACTGCTGCTTGGGTCATGCACCTTGGATTGGGGGAAATGCAGGAGAGGTTAATTGGGACCAGGGGACCAAAGATGCAGAAAACAGGGCTGACACTCAAGCCTTGACAATGAAGTGTTCACTACACTGCGGATTCCAGAGCATCAGCTGTCATATAAAATGCCAGAACATGAGAAAGATGGGCAGGAGCTTTCTCTGAATAGTCTCACCTACACCTTCTCCAAGGTGGTCCTATTAACATCCCTCAAGCCCTGAAGACCTTGGGCAGGTGTCCAGAAAGCCTGGGCAAGCTTTCAAGCCTCAGCAGCCCACCACTGCTGGCAGAGACAAGCACACAAAGAATATGAAAAACTCCCTTCTGAACAATTTTATGCTTTTACTTTGCTACTTAGCCAAGACAGAATAGCAGCAGGGTAATCAAGTCTCACTTAACTGCAATTTAATTACCTTTCCCAAGTTTGCCATAATGAAAACTAAGTGACCCCAAAATAATGGGAAAAAGTTCATATGGGATGTAGGATGTCTGATCTTATCAGCAGGAGCTAATTCGCAGGATTGGGTAATCTCTAATGGCCTTACTACTCACTAGTCTTATGTGGGCTGCCTATAGCTTTACCTCAACTTTTTTATTTAAAAAAGAAGTAGCCAGCCTAGGCAACATAGTGAGACTCTGTCTCTAAACAAACAAACAAACAAACAAACAAACAAACAAACAAACAAAAACTAGCCGTGTAGTGGCACATGCTTGTAGTCCCAGCTACTAGGGAAGCTGAGGTGGGAAGACCACTTGAACCCAGGAGGCCGAGGCTGCAGTGAGCCATGATTGCACCACTGCACTCTAGCCTGGGTGACAGAATAAGAACTTGTCTCCTCCAAAACAGCAAATGACCATGAGATATGCCAGGCCTTTTCTCTGAACTTTTCTCGCATAGGAAGCTGTAGTGTCTTAGGGAGCCATGGTTTCCTCACCAAGTCTTTTCATGTCAATTAGGACACAAACACTGACACTGACATTTTTTTTTTTTTTTTAAGAGACAGGGTTTTGCATGTTACCCAGACTGTCTTGAACTCCTGAGCTCAGGCAATCTGCCCGCCTCAGCCTCCCAAAATCTTGGGATTACAGGTTACAGGTGTGACCCACTGTGCCCAGCCCTAACATTGGACTTTAATGTGGTGTTAGAGAGCTGCTCCTTTGTCTGCCCACCCACAGAAGGCAGGAAAAGGTTGATAATTAAAGCATACGGGAAAGTTATGCCATTGTCTTCCTTGGAATGTCTAAGAAAATGGAAGCTACAAAGCCTCATGAGTTACTTGGAACCAGGTGATCAAATGGATGAAGGCAAGTGCAGTTCTGGTTTAAGAGAATGGTGATGCTTGCCAGTTTTATCCAAGAGTCTGGAAGAGGACATGGCATAGCAGGGGTGCAATGAGAAAAAAGTCTGTAATGCTACAATTTATTCATCCATAAAAATTTAGGAGTTCAGCTGGATGACTTCTTTTTTTTTTGAGATGGAGTCTTGCTCTGTCACCAGGCTGGAGTGCAGTGGTGCAATCTTGGCTCACTGCAACCTCTGCCCCCTGGGTTCAAGCAATTCTTCCGCCTCAGTCTCAGGGACCATAGGCACGTACCACCATGCCCGGCTAATTTTTTTGTATTTTTAGTAGAGATGGGGTTTCACCATGTTGGCCAGGATGGTCTTGATCTCTTGACCTCATGATCCGCCTGCCTCGGCCTCTCAAAGCGCTGGATTACAGGTGTGAGCCACCGTGCCCGGCCAGCTGGATGACTTCTAAGGCCTCATCCCACAATAGCATTCTAGACTCAGTGTTGGAGCCAGACCATGAGAAATCATGAAGTTCCAATGTCTTCTAAAGGTAACGGGGAACTTTCAAAAGGTCTTTAACAGAACAAAGATCTGATCAGAGATATTCTTCAGAAAGACAATGTTGGCAACATGCCATCTTTGTCAAATGAGATAAAGTAGTAATATAATAACAATAACAATAATAAATAAAAATAGCAACTAACTGCTAAATGCTTTATATGGCTGGGTGCAGTGGCTCATGCCTGTAATCCCAGCACTTTGGGAGGCCGAGGTGGGCAGATCACTTGAGGTCAGAAGTTTGAGACCAGTCTGGCTAACATGGTGAAACCCTGTCTCTACTAAAAGCAAAAATTAGCTGGGTGTGGGGATGTGTGCCTGTAATCCCGGCTACTAAGGAGGCCGAGGCAGAAGAACTGCTTAAACCCGGAAGGTGGAGGTGGCAGTGAGCCAAGATCACACCATTGCACTAGCCTGGGTGACAGAGTGAGACTCTGTCTTAAAAAAAAAGCTTTATATTTACTAACTAATTAATACTCCCAATAAACCTACAAGGTAGTTAAGTTTTACCATATTTTATAATGAGAAATCAGGCACAAAGAGGTAAGGACTTTTTTTTTTTTTTTTTAGATAGAGTCTTACTCTGTCACTCAGGCTGGAGTGCAGTGGCACGATCTCAGGTCACTGCAACCTCCACCTTCTGAGTTCAAGCAATTTTTCTGCCTCCTGAGTAGCTGGGACTACAGGTGTGCACCACCATGCCCAGCTAATTTGGCCAATTCTTTAAGAGGGTAATAAGTGACAGACCTAGGATTCAGTTAGGCAGTCTGACTCCAGAGCTCATGTTCTAAGAACAATGGGGGAAGGGTAAATGTAGAAGACAAAGAATGATGAAGACAGGAAAAATAAGTTAGAGAACACCAAAATGGTCAGGTGTAGTGGCTCATGCCTGTAATCTCAGCACTGTGGGAGGCTGAGGTGGGTGGAGAGGACTGCTTAAGCTCAGAAATTCAAGCCTGGGTAACATAGGCCTCAATCTGGCTTCTCAAAGATAAGTCTCAGTGCTCCCAAAGAACCCGGTCTCTACTAAAAAACAGTGGCACATGCCTGTAGTCCCAGCTACTCAGGAGGCTGAGATGAGTGGATCACCTGAGTCCAGGGGGTGGAGGCTGCAGGGAGCCATGATCGTACCACTGCACTCCAGCCTGGGGGACAAAGAGAGACCCCATCTCAAAGGAGAGAGATAGATAGAGAGAGAGAGACTATCACAAGAATGACGTGGGAAAGAGACAAAGACTTTATATCTCTGGGTCTGACCTCTCCTCTTAAGCTCTAACCACAAACTGAACACCAGACATCTCCACAAACCTCATGTCCTACAGGCACTTCCAACCTCTTGTGATCTACACAGACCTTGTCTCACACAAATCTGCCCCTCCTTCCTCATCTCAGTGAGTGTATCACCATCCACTTTTTCCCTAACTGGACACCTGGGCTTCACTTGTCAACTGTCCTCTCCCTTACCTCATATGTCCCCTCCTTGTTCATTCCTTGTCAGTCTCCTTAGATTCTTTTTCTTATGTCTAAAATTGCTTGTGGTTGGTTGTTCCCATTTCCCAAGGTTTTGTTTTAGTTTCTTTTTTTTTCATATCACACACTCTCCCTGCCTGGGTGATTTCATCTACTCTACTCCCAAGGCTTCAGTTATCACTTTTTTTTTTTTTTTTACAGAGTCTTGCTCTGTTACCCAGGCTGGAGTGCAGTGGTGTAATCTTGGCTTACTGCAACCTCCACCTCCAAGGTTCAAGCAAACCTCCTGCCTCAGCCTCCAGAGTAGCTGGGATTACAGGTGCGTGCCACCTGGCTAATTTTTGTATTTTTGGTAGAGATGGGGTTTGGCCTTGTTGGCCAGGCTGGTCTCAAACTCCTGGGCTTATCCGCCCACCTCAGCCTCCCAAAGTGCTGGAATTACAGGCATGAACCATCACACTCAGCCTCCAGTTATCACTTCTGTGCCCACCACTTCCAAACTTGTACCTCAAGCACAAGCTTCTTTCCTAAGTTCCAGCCCTGTAGATCAAGGCCTCCTGTACATCACCATGCATTCAACTTGTCCCAGATGGAACTCATAATCTCCCCACCTCCCACTCTGCCAATCTTGCTCTTCCTCTACTAAAAATGCTTTGAAGGCATTTTTCCATTATCTTTGCCTCAAGTGGATACATGGGGAAACATACCCTTCCTCCACAGTGACTGAGTTCATGAGAAGGCAATTGGTAATCGTCACTCTATCTTTTATGAGACAGGATGAACCGATGATTGAGCGCTTAATGGATGACTTCTCTCCAATCTGTGTATCTGGCCCGATGAGGCTGTCAACTCCAACCTGTAAAAGGCAAAATATAAAACCCTGTCCATCCATCTCAACCAACTGCAAACCACCCTCCAGATCCCTCAAGGTGGGATCTAATGGGATCTTTCCTATAAACATACATAAGCAAGAGGGATCATCATCAGTATTTCTCAGGGCCACAAGGTCACATAACACCTCTGAGATCACCTCAAACCTAATTGAAGCATGGGCCTTCCTCCCTTGCCAAGAAAACAAAACAAAACAAACAACAGACACATATACACATTCATGCACTTCTGTATACAGATGTGCTCTCTTAAAGAGAGTGCTCAAATCTGAGTTAGAAGGGGAACAGATGGAGAGCTCCTGTGTCTGAGTCTCCTGTGTCTGACCTTGTAATGGACACTTCCTTACAAGGTCAATACTTGCCCAGGCAGTCTTGTTGAGTGAGATTTTATTGTCAAAACCCGCTGTGATTTCCCCGGGGCTAATAAGGTTCAGGACTTGAAGGCTGCAATCTGGCTTCTCAAGGAAAAGTATCAATGCTCCCAAAGAACATCCCATGCCTGCCCTGCCCACACTAGCACTTACCAGGTGTTTGCTGACAATCTGGGCTGACGAGTGGACTGGTGGTTCTTCTGGACAGAGAGCAGACAGCAATTTGGGCACCTTGAGGATAGAGATTTGTTTACTAAAGATCTGAATACATCTAGGTAGAACCCAATGTCTAATCAGAGATACGGGGAGTTCTTAGCCAGAGCTGCCTGTCTGAGTGAGGGAGAGCAGGAGGCTGCTTCATTCCCCCTAGGACCAGGATTATTTATGCAGCAGCTTCCAGAAGCTTCTCTTGAGGATAGAGATTTGTTCACTAAAGATCTGAAAACACCTTAGGTAGAACCCAATGTCTAATCAGAGATATGGGGAGTTCTCAGCCATAGCTTCCTGTCTGAGTGAGGGAGAGCAGGAGGCTGCTTCATTTCCCCTAGGACCAGGATTATTTATGCAGCAGCTTCTAGATTGCCTTATTCTCAGTCTCTTCGCTGTGAATGCTCTTCCTTGAAAGTAATGCCATGTCCCTTGGCTGGGAGGCAGTGAGACAAGTCTTTGAGATACCCACATAGCACTTCTTGGGAAAGGAGGACTTACAGGGCAAGGAATACCCTGAATCTTGATCATAGGCATCCTGGGTTCCTGGTCACCTCTTGGACCACTGTGACCATGCATGAGGTGACGATGTGATCAATTTTGGACAAATTCCAAAACAAGGACAGATCCTGAGAAGGCATCCAGCCACCAACCAAAAGAAAACATGAAGGGGAAGTTCACACTGTTCCCTCTCCAGTGTGAGAAACCTGAAAAGGCTAGAGGTATGGGGAGCTTTGGGTACCAGTCCATTAGGAAGGCACAGGTAGTGTGCCTGTCTGTGATTCTCCAGCACAGGCAGAATACTGGTTAGAGGACTATGTGTGGCAGCCACACTAGCTGATGGAGGCCTTGTCAGCACGGCTACACCGGAATGTGAAGGCTAATCCCCAGCCACCAGCCCTGTGATCTTTTCTTCCACGCTCCACCCAAGGCCTTTTGGGCCTGTCTGCTGCATAGCCCCTGCTGGCACTTCAGAGGATACTCTTCCCAGCATGCTCATGAGAGCAGATCCCCTTTTTCATAATGTGGACATAGCAGCGCACCTGTGATCTGGACAAGTCTTCCCACTCAGGTCATCCATGAACACCTTTCCAGACCAGTCTGAAAGACTCTAGTCACAGGTAAATGTGAGACTAGCTATGATTTCTCATAAGCTCTCTGGCTTGGGATTCCCTTGGATCTGTAGCCAATCCAGGTTGAGGCCCGCCTGAGGTATCACTGGGTGTGGGTCCTACAGATTCCTGAGCCAGGTTTTCTTCAGAGACTCAATTCTGATTTTCTTTTTCGAAACAGAGTCTCACTCTGTTGCCCAGGCTGGAGTGCAGTGGTACAATCTGGGCTCACTGCAACCTCTGCCTCCCAGGTTCAAGCGATTCTCCTGCCTCAGCCACCCAAGAAGCTGGGATTACAGTTATGTGCCACCATGCTCTGCTAATTTTTGTATTTTTTTTCTTTTTTTTTTTTGTCAGCAAGGGGCTTTATAATTTTTGTATTTTTAGCAGAGATGGGGTTTTGCCATGTTGGCCAGGCTGGTCCCAAACTCCTGACCTCAGGTGATCCACCTGCCTTGGCCTCCCAAAGTGCTGCGATTACAGGTGTGTGCCACCGCACCCGCCCTCAATTCCAATTTTCAACAATTTCTTTTGTATTACTATGCACCCCACTGCCACCCTGGTCTGTATCAGCAATTACATTTTCATAGGATTCTACCAGAAGCAATGTCAATAACTAAAGTTTTCATTATCTTACCTCTGTTATCCTTGAATGCCAACCCAATGTAGTTCCCTCTATTATTTATCTTTTCCTATTGTCTTAAAAAATTTTTTTTTGAGACGGAGTCTTACTCTCTTGCTTAGGCTTAGTCTGGAGTGTGGTGGTGTGATCTCAGCTCACTGCAACCTCTGTATTCTGGGCTCAGGTGATCCTCCCACCTCAGCCTTCCAGGTAGTTGGGACTACAGCCATACGCCACCATACTTGGCTAATTTTTGTAGTGTTTTTTGTAGAGACAGGATTTCGCCATGTTGTCCAGGCTGGTCTCGAACTCCTGGGCTCAAGAGATCCACCGGCCTCGACCTCCCAAAGTGCTGGGATTACACGTATAAGCCACTGTGCCCGGACTCTTTTCTTATTCTCATCTAAACTCTCTACCGCTCTGCATTTCCTTTTCCTGTCTCATTATCCCTCCCTCCCAAAACCTTCCTCCTGGGCTCACTATACAATACAGAGTTCCTCTACACCTTTAGCCTCTTTACTGTCCCCCTCTCCACCTAATGCCTTCATTAAGGCCTGGCTTATCTTTGAGGACACTGCTTCTCACAATGGAAACTATTTGTTCTCCATCGCTCACAAACTTCAAGGTTAAAAGAAGGGGCTAGCAAGGGACTCCTCATTAATGCTGTTTGCAGCTAATTCTCTCTCATAGACATTTCCTTCCTGAGGCTTTGCCATCTGGCCACTGTATACTCTGCTCTTTCACCTTTTCAGGGAAGCCTCCTATGTATGCCTCTGTTTACTTCATGAGAGTAATGATTAGAGTATTTACCTGCTTGTTTTGAAGTAACTACTGGAGATATCCCCATGCTGCACAGAACAGGAGAAGCTGCCGACCCAGAGGCCAGAAGTTAGCCTTCCTGAAGATCTTAGCCTTTCCCTGGAGCCACAGAGGCCCTGACTATGGACCAGGCCCCCAGCTTCCCAACTGGCTGCACCTGAGTACCCTAGCAGTCTCCCTTGACATGCCAGGTCTTGCTCAACCTGGGGAATGACAAGGAATCTTAACAAGTTACTGTGTACCTAATGAAGAAACAGACACATGGCTCAGCCTATTTCTAGGACAGGAGCCCCATGATTTTCTTTCTAAACTCATACTCTCACCTGTCTGTTTGCTTCCATGTAGAGTCCCAGTGTGCTCACTCGAGAGCAGAGCCCCTCTTTCATGATGTGGACATAGCAGCGCACCTGCGATCTGGACAAGTCTTCCCACCTGTCTCCTCGACAAGCATTCCAGCAGGCATCATAGGGAGCCAGGTTCAGTGTATTGGCTTCTTTTATAAAACTGTAAATATCTTCAGAACAAACATCCAGACCAAGGAAATAAATGAGAACGAGATAACAGAATAGATATATACTCAGTCAAGTTTTTTTTTTTTTTTTTTTTAAGAGACAAGGTCTTGCTATGTTGTCCAGGTTAGTCTTAAACTCTCAGACTCAAGCGATCCTCCCACCTCAGCCTCCCGAGCAACTAGGACTACAGGTGTGCACCACCATGCCTGGCTCTGAGTTAAGTTTTGAAAGATGTTACAGCTCACAATCTCCCCATGGAATTCACCCATAACATGAACCCTGAGGAAATCCCACTAAGATCTGTAAGAGAAAGTCAAACTAAAAGAGGCAATGTACTTCCCTGAAACATCATATGAAATAAAAATGCTTAAAAAGAGGTCCTAAAAGCATGTTTGACCAGTAATCAAGACCTCTAGGGAAAATAAAACAGATGGCCCTTGTAAATCATGAAATAACACAAGCAAGTGTCCAGGCTTTAGTGACAGCTGGATTGACTTTGTGCTACTAGTCTCTATTACCATACCTGGTAGCTGTGCTATGACAGAAAGAGCACAGAACTTGGAGCCTGGAGTACCAGGGCTCTAGTTTTTCAGCTCTCCCAATGACCCTTTGAGATCTTTCACTTTCTGATAAAAAAAAAAAAAATGGGGCTCAGAGGACTGAGTTACCTGCCTATCACAATGCTAGTAAGAGGCAGAGTCAGATTTCAAATCCAGAAGTGTCTGATGCCCAGTTCTATATCAGACAGTTCTAATCATCACGCTGCACTGTCAGTTTATTCATCTGACAAAAACTTTTTCAGAACATCTACTAGGAGCCCACGCCTGGGCCAGGGATTAGGGATATGACAGCAAACAAGACAGATCTCATCTTCAGATCCTGGAATGGAGACAGCTGGTTGGCCTGTGGCTGGACTGCAATTATACATTCTTTTACCTTCCTTCCCTTGATAAAAGAGGCTGAGTTTAATTAGGAACAGGGCTGCCCAGAGCCTAGAGAACAGGGGAATAAGTAGCAGGTGGAGTTTAAAGGCAAAATGGTCTAGTGAGGAACACAGCTAAACCAGAGCTATGAATCAGAGAATGGGGCTGGAGGCATGATTAGCCTGTCACTGAGAGCACAGTGACAGGATCTGCCTGAGCAAGCTTACGCAGGGCTCAGGGAGTTGGCACACCTGTCTTGCCTTGTAAACTAGACAACAGTCTGCTGCCTTGAGACAGGCATCTTGGGCTGGGCTAAGCTGCCCAACCACTCTTTCCAAAGGTGCTGCTACCCTTGCACCTCTTCCAGAACCAACCCAAGCACTGACCTAAGGACTTCAGCTCCTTTTTCTTTAGATCCTCCTCTTTTTCTTCTTGTCCCTGTTGTGAGGAAGCTGAGGAAAACTGTTTTCTCACTAGATACGGAATCAGTTCACTCCGGATTGACGTGATTGACCTAGGAAGAAAGAATGGCCAAATATGAGAAATCTGTCTGGAACCTACCGGGATCAAAAGCTCTGTGCATACAAGGAAAAGCCAAATCCTTTCCCGTCATAGCACCTTGAGACTGTCAGAAATCAAATGTGGCATGGACTTGGCAGTTTGGAGAAGCAGAGTGCTTCCTGGTGGGTACTGAGACAGGACGTTGGGTCTGAGTGACCTGGAATCTGTACCAGGAAGAAGGGACTCAATCTTTAGTACACTGTATATTTTTTTATTCATGTTTTTATTTATACTTAGCAATGGAAAGCAGAGAGGTGAGAGACTAGCACATGTTTTTCAGTGTTCTCTCACACTGTGACCTTATTAGAATTTTATATCACGAATTAATTTATATATCATTTACTACATATATGCCAGTTGCTGTGGTAGGCCTTGGAAATATATTGTTTCTGACCGTAAGGAATTCATGATCCAATGGACAGTAGCCTGTAAGAGTTTAAGAGGAAATGTAGAAGGAGGTGAAGCTAATCAGGTAGGCAAGGGGGCCAGATCATGAAAGCTTTTTTTTTTTTTCAATAAAAATTTTTAATTTCTTTTTTTTACAAAGACAGGGTTTCACCATGTTGGTTAGGCTGGTCTTGAACTCCCAACCTCAGGTGATCCATCCGCCTTGACCTCCAAAGTGCTTGGATTACAGGCGTGAGCCACCATGCCCCACCATGAAAGCTTTTTGTGGTGAAACAGGAGTAACAGTGAGAAAATTTGCAATAACAGTGAGAAAATTATGACAGTGAAAGAGATCTGACCTAATCAACTCCATCTTGCTGTAACCTTCAAACTGCCCTTGGTCATTCTCGGGTATAGGCTGAGCTAACTTTGGGAGAAATTTTTTCTTTTTTTCTGAGACAGGGTCTCACTCTGTTGTCTAGGCTGGAGTGCAGTGGTGTGATCTTGGCTTACTGCAACCTGTGCCTCCCAGGTTCAAGCAATTCTTCCACCTCAGCCTCCCGAGTAGCTGTGAAACTGGGATTACAGGTAGAAGAGCCACCATGCCCGGCTAATTTTTTTTTTTTTTTTTGAGACAGAGTCTTACTCTATCGTCCAGGCTCGCGTGCAGTGGCATGATCTAAGCCCACTGCAACCTCTGCCTCCTGGGTTCAACCTCTGCCTCTTGTGCTCCAGCCTCCCAAGTAGCTGGGACTATAGGCGCATGCTACCAGGACTAGGTATTTTTTTTGGTCGAGGTGGGGTTTTGCCATGTTGACCAGGCTGGTCTCAAACTCCTGGTTTCAAGTGATCTGCCTGCTTCAGCCTTCTGAAGCACTGGGATCACAGACATGAGCCACTGTGCCCAGCTTTTTTGTTTTGTTTTTGAGACAGAGTTTTGCTCTTGTTGCCCAGGTTGGAGTGTAACAGTGTGATCTTGGCTCACTGCAACCTCTGCCTCCCAGGTTCAAGCGATTCTCCTACCTCAACCTCCCAAGTAGCTGGGATTACAGGCATGTGCCACCACATCGGCTATTTTTTTGTATTTTTAGTAGAGATGGGGTTTCTTTATGTTGGTCAGGCTGGTCTTGAACTCCTGACCTCAGGTGATCTGCCCATCTTGGCCTCCCAAAGTGCTGAGATTACAGGCATGAGCCACCATGCCCAGCTGTTTTTTTTTTTTTTTTTCCCCAGTGGAGTTTCACTCTGTCGCCCATGCTGGAGTGCAGTGGCACAATCTCGACTCACTGCAACCTTTGCCTCCTGGGTTCAGGCAATTCTCCTGCCTCAGCTTCCCGAGTAGCTGGGATTACAGGCATGTGCCACCATGCCCGGCTAATTTTTGTATTTTTAGTAGAGACAGAGTTTCACCATATTGGCCAGGATGGTCTTGAATTCCTCACCTTAGGTGATTTGCCCACCTTGGCCTCCCAAAATGCTGGGATTACAGGTTGGGCCACTGTGCCCGGCCCCGGCTTTTTTTTTTTTTTTATTGAGACAGAGTCTTGCTCTGTCACCCAGGCTGGAGTATGGTGGTGTGATCTTGGCCTACTGCAACCTCCACCTCCCAGTTCACGCGATTCTCCTGCCTCAGGCACCTGCCGCCATGCCTGGCTAATTTTTGTATTTTTAGTAGAGATGGTGTCTTGCCATTTCAAACTCCTGACCTCAGGTATCTGCCCACTGTGGCCTCCCAAAGTGCTAGAATTACAGATGTGAGCTACCCTGCGTGGCCGGAAATTTATTACGGTTTATAGTTTAAATGATAATAGTTCTTCTCAAAATGAAAACACCTTCATAAAACTAATTAAAAAGGTACAAGTTTAGGATTACAAGAGGGGCCTGAGTTCTCATATTACCAGTCATTGTTCCAGAGGTCACAAGATTTGCAACTTCCCTAGTTGTTCCTGTAAATAACATCACTACTGTAGAACCTAAGATTGGTTTTTTAAGATGTCTTTTCTGAGTTTTGCATTTCTGATGACTGGATGATTCCACTGGGACCAGTGACTCCTCTGTGGCCCCCACCCAGAACTGGACTCAGCAGAGGACTGTTTTCCACACCGTTATGATTGCATCCCCAACCAATCAGCAGCACCTATTCCCTAGACCTTTGCCCACCAAACTATCCTTGAAAAACCCTAGCCTCAGAATTTTTGGGGAGGCTGATTTGAGTAATAATAAAATTCTGGTTTCCCATTTAGCTGCCTCTATGTATATTAAGCTCCTTATTGCAATTCTCCCATCTTGATAAATTGTCTATCTCAGCAGCAGGTAATATTAACCCACTGAGGAGTTACAGTGGCAGTCTAGAAAGTCTGGACTGAGAAGCCAGTGGTAATTTTTTCTTTTTAGATGGGGTCTTGCTTTGCTGCCCAGGCAGGAGTATAGCGGTGCAATCACAACTAACTGCAGTCTTGACTACCTGGGCTCATGTGATCCTTCTGCCTTGGCTTCCCAAGTAGCTGGGACCACAGGTACATGCCACCATGCCCAGCTAATTTTTTTATTATTTGTAGAGACAAAGTCTTACTATTTTGCCCAGGCTGGTCTTGAACTCCTGGACTCAAGCAGTCCTCCTACCTCAGCCTTCCAAATTGCTGGGATTACAGGTGTAAGCCACCACAAGTCGCCAACAGCGATAGTTTTTAAGCAAGAAAGTGACACGATCGTTTTATCTGTTAGTAAGGTAATTCTGGTAGCAGTGTGGAAGAAAGCCTGGAATAAGGAAACTGAAGGGAGGGAGACCAGTTACAATATTCTAAGAGATGAGATAATCAGGCCTGAGAGAGGAGTTAAAGTATTGGCAGCTCAATAAACCTGAATTGCTGCATACTTCCCACTACCTCTCCCAGCCCCCATTTAAAGAAACTCTGCATGCTAACACAGGACCACACAGATGGAGTGTAGGTAGGAAAGCAAGATAGAGGCAGAGACTGAGGAGGGTAAGGAAAATTATGAACCCCGGAGCTATACAGTTCATGGTTTTTGTAATTTTTAAAGGATCAAGTCAAACATCTTTGAAAAATTCTGTGTTAAGCTGTGAGCTCTTGTATTGAATTTCAATGTGATTTTTCTCCTGATCCTTTGATGGAGATTGAAAAATTTCCATGTGAATACAAAGAATGAAACAACACTTACTCTTAGCTCTTTTTCACCCCTTCTAATGCTTCAAACGAGTGTGGGCAGCAAATGTTTCTCCTCCACTGAAAAACAAGTCAGTTCCCTTTGAAGAAGTGACAAAGTATGGACAGCTGGAGGATTTCAGGGCAATGATATTTATATTATGGACCAAACAGAACTGTCACTGCAAGAGGCAAGCAGACAAGCCTTGGCACATAGCCCCATCAGGCAGAGCCATTCAAGAGGATCAGTGATTTGAAGAGGGGCTATGAAACAACTCTGCCAGGTCCCACCCACCTCTGCTGGAGCTAAGCATTAGGTCAATCCCCATAATGCAGTTGGCTTAGAAGAATAATGAAGGAAACAATTATTATTCCCCCTTCCTAGTTAAAGTGGAGGCAGCTCAGAGCTGTGCCAAGAAGTGATACAAAGCTACAGTGAACCATTGTGAACATCCTGGGCCTAAAGGTGATGAGCTAGATGCAGTGCCCTTGTCAACCTTACTTTCTCCTTTCCCTCTTGTACACAGCCTTCCTAGAAACACCTGTCTTATCTCAAGAAATCATAAGCTCTTCTCAAGCAATCACAAAGAAGAACAACAGACTTTACTACTAACTGTAAACAAACAATCCCATCAAATTAAAAAGATAAAATAATTGCTACGAATAGGGCAAAGGATATTCTTAATAAAGAAACAGATACAAATGTTCAAGCAACATATAAAATATTTTTAAATAAATAAAAAATTAAAATAAGATGCTATTTCTCCTCCAACTAAGTTAACTGATTTAAAACAATTTTCTTTTTCTTTTCTTTTCTTTTTTTTTTTGGGACCACTCTGTTGCTCGGGCTGGAGTGCAGTGGTGCAATCTGGTTCACCACAACCTCCACCTCCTGGGTTCAAGTGACTCTCCTGCCTCAGCCTCCCGAGTAGCTGGGACTACAGGAATATGCCAACATGCCCGGCTAATTTTTGTATATTTAGTAGAGATGGGGTTTCACTATGTTGATCAGGCTGGTCTTGAACTCCTGACCTCATGATCTGCCTGCCTCGGCCTCCCAAAGTGCTGGGATTATGTGAGCCTGGCCTGAAACAATTTTCATTACTGATAAGAGTGCTTTGAGAACAGTTACTGTCACATAATGGGAGTCAGAGTATAAACTGATAAAATCTCTGAAAAATAATTGGCAATATTATAGCAAAAGACTTGAAGATATTCATATAATTTCACCCTGTAATTCCATTTCTGTAAATCTATCCTAAGGAAAATACATTACTCAGGAAATAGTTGCTTAATAGATGAAATAATCAGATTATAAATAAGAATCTTTGAAAAAAAGGTATTCCCCTAATGTTATTTATAAAAATGGAGAACAATAAAATATTCAACAATGAAAGATCAA